GTTCCAATGCTCATCTGCCCTCGCAGATATCAATATACCTGCGTGTTTCTTCATACAGCTGAGGGTCCAGCGACCCCTTCATACTCTCCTTGTCTCGGCATACTGGTCCTCGGTGTGCTGGTCATGGGTCCTGGATTCTGGTTCCGCGGTTGGGTCACTAGTCGGTCATACCGCAGGAACACGATGTCTCCCCTCGCCCTGGCCTCCCTTAACCTCGGCATCAACTCCCTTCTTCTCTTCCTCACAGACTCGGTGTAATCTTCATTTATATAAATATTAGATCCTTTAAGCTTCTTTGCTTGTTGCAGTATGTGTGCCTTATCTTTCTCTTTCATCAACTTTACCATCACCGCCCTCGGTCCCCGATCAGAAGGTTTCCCGACTCTGTGAGCCCGCTCCATCTCAATTTCTTGATGAATTTGCAGTTTATCCTTTAATATTTCCTTCACCTTACATTCCGCTTCCGTCCAGCTTTCTCCAGCTGACTCCTTGATTCCCTCGAAGATCAGGTTTTTTCGCTTGGACTGTACTTCCAAATGCTCTATTTTATCCGTTATGGCTATTAGACTCTAACAAGTTTTGTAGACATCATCCCTTGTTTCCTTGGTTTGTATTTTCTGTTCACCCATGGCTGCTTTAATCACATCCACATCTCGCTGGGTAAACTGCAAACTCGTTTTTATCTCCTGTATTTCTCTGGTCATGTCGTCGAGTCTCTTGTTATTTGTCTCCATAAGTAGTTGCACAAAACCTTTGAAGTTGTCTTGTTGTTGGCTCAACAGTGCGGTGTACATCTGCATCTGCTTCTGCTGACTTAACCTCTCTGTTACTTGTGCCGCTGAAATATAATCCTCTTCTGCTTCAACATCCTCATTCGCTTCTGATTTATTAGCTCTTTTCCCTCTTGGAGGCATTTTAATAGTTGTAGAATTTGTTCAAAGACTTGAAAATGTAGAAGATGTGAAAAATCGTAGAATAGACAGGAGCAGTAATCGTCTGCTCTCCCTTGCAACATAGTATGTTTGTGGTGGGAAACTCAGGAAAGGATTAGTCTGTGTGCACAGAGAACACGATTTGCATATGAACATGCTGTATAAATTTTTCCCATTATATTTCATAAGCCTGGGCTGCTTAGTCACATTTTTATGATAAAGCTTTTGCATATAAGGACAAATTGTAAGATATCAGTCTATTATCATGGCTGCTAATCCCATGTTTCACTTCCAGTTGTACTCACTGGAAAGTATAACCAGTAAAACTGACATTTAATCTTATAGCACTCATTTTTATTCTGCCCACTTTTATTTGCACTCAAGATTTTCTATTTCTATCTTTTAATCACAGTGATAAACACATACAGTCATATATGGACACTCTTTTTCTTACACACTGTCTGATATAGTGGTGCCCTTTTCTTCGCTTCCCTGGAGGGATTTTATTCTCATTCTAGCTGTTAAAGGAAATAATAATGTGGTCTCTGCTTTAAGGGCACTGCAGTTGTCACGTGCTTTGTGTTATATATAAGAGAGATATGTACAGTTGAAAAGTTGGATAAATACTTGGAGAGGTATTTTTTCCAAACTCTACACATAGTTGAAAGCCAAGAACTTTTCTTTTTTTGGTAGTTAATGTTCTCAGATAAAGAAGCAAATAACATTACACTGAAATACAGACTGAGGCAACAGCATTTCAATGCTGCAACACTGTGTAAACATGTTGAGCGCCAAACTGTGGAGGGTGACCCCAAAGGTGACACTGTTCTTCAGAATTAATCGGTATTGCTTACTCTTTCTACCTCTCTGCTTAATACCAGCAGCTATTTCTCTTATGTAACATGGTCAGTAATGAAAGCTTTCACCTTGGCTCAGGCCAACTTTGGTAAACAGTGTGGATCTCTGAGCTGAAAAACAGGAGAAAAACACAGATGCCTACAAAATCATCTCTGCCATATGAGCAAATGATTTAAAAATATAACTTTATATCATCAGCAGATGTGTAGGTTCCTTTGTCATCTTTCATATTTCAGTTATTTATGACCAATTAAACACCCTGTGCATTGTTACCACACTAACATTATTTCCCTTATAATTACTGTAGTACAAAATCACGTAGGCCTTTCTTGGAAAAATCCTTGAAATTCACAGCTAAATACAAGCTAGTGCTTAAGAAATGATGGGAAATTAGAAATTAGCTGGAAAATGGTAGATTAAATAAGACTGACTCTAAAAGTGATCTCTCACTGTCATCTTAGTCTTACTGTAATGACCACAGAAAGAAGGGTAGACACTCATAGGATGGTGCTTTACCTTGTAGGCCTTCATGATGTCCACTGTGCCCACAGCAGTCTGCTCCAGGATGCCTTGATTCTGCAGCAGTGACCGCACCGTCTCTTCCATCCTGCACGCAGAACACGTCACTGTGTTATCGCACTATAATAAACACCAATCGAGAAATTAAGGGCAACATGATGAGACAGATAAATCTTAAATTTTACAAGCACTCAGATCTCATTGCTCTGGCATTTCTGTACAACACCTGCTTAAGATCGTTCAGGCATTTGCCATGATGATTGAATTCTGTAGAAAACACTAGAATGGCCCAGGATAAACCTTCCTGAGGACCTCACAGTTTTGCTAAAATAAAAATAAACCTGTCTTAAATAATGTTTAACTAGAGACATCAGCAGCTTCAAAGTGATGAGCATGTTCAATGGTATCATCTAAACTGGGATCCATTTTCAGGATGTTTATAGTTTTATAAGATGTTTGTTGTTTGAAATGGACCATTGAATCCTTCAATTGCGCTTTCTCTACACTTTTCATTAACATGCACACACACGCGTGCACACAAAAATGATCAGAGAACGGGACTGACTCAGTGCCAGAGACACAAGATGGGTGAGCAGTATTTTTTTGGACTGATTCCCAACTTCTGCTCAATTCACTATGCAGGGAACACTTTGTCCAAATGACTAGATTGAGAACAAATTGTGCTAACATAGCACCTATTTGCTTACAGTGTGTGATTTTCTAGGCATTTGTCTGTGCACAGATATATGTGTGTCTCAGGATGACCTGAAATAAGTGCAATCACAGCAGCAAACACTGAGCAAGTGACCTTGACCTTCAAGGCCTGCTCTACTTGCACTTCTTTTTTGTGCCGCAAAACACTGCAAGCTGCATGCAAAACAGGTGTCAAAGAGAGCAAGTGTAAAAGCCTCCACCCATTTCCATCTCAATAAGAGCCATATGCCATCTTTATCCCCAAGCTACAGGATGAACTTTGAACTACATTCACTTTCTGATTCTGTACATAATAATAATAATAGACTACCACAACATCAAATTAGATACATGAGATGAGCTTGGACCCAGTTGGGATCATGTAAACGGTAAAGATAAGATAATACTGACATTCAGGAGCAGCAGCGAGTGGGGAGTGACAGGCAGTATCTTAACAAAAGAAAGGCTTTGACATAGTCAGGTAGGAGTCATCTCAATATCATGACATTTTCGTCTTCTTTTACTGGTTTGATTCACACTGAAGTTAAACAACACAATTGAAAAGCTCACATGACAGTTAAAATGGACAATTATGACTGAAAATGCAAATTTTGAAATGAAATTGGGATCCACCCTGTCTCTTGCACATCATTCATGTTAACAAGGCTACACCTCTTTGTCTCTTGAGTCCCAAGCGCATGACTCATGCGATTATCAGTGTAAAGCCTTGAACTACTCGTCAAACCAATGCAAATGTGTATGAACCATGCAAAAAGAAAGTTTAACCAACTTAGATGACACATTTAGAGACAAAGATATTACAATAATCTGCATAAAAATATTCATCAACTGTGTGCATGGACTATCAGGACAGTGTTTTACTAAAGGGGTTTTTCCATTATAGGAACCTACTGAAACATGTTGCACCAAGTAACGCTCGTCATAGGTCCTGTGTTTGTCTCCACTACACTTGACCTGCTTTGGAGGTGTGTTCTGAGAGCTAAATTTCACCACACCTTAGGAGGTAGTACTACAATCAATTACCAAAACGTTTCGGGGGGAGGGGGGCTTCATGCTTGGGTGTAGAGCAGTCACTGGTGATTGGTTTAATGGCCATGTCTTCACACCTCAAACGTTAGCATTACAGAGGAGCAGCCCCTCCCACCTCTGAACAGAGACTGACAGAGAAAAAATACAACTGAAAAACAAAGAGAGATGGTCCACGAAAAGGCTTGGTGATGGTTAAGGAAAATGGGTGTACCTCTTGTTAGGTTCCGATGGTGGAAAATGCATCATATGTGACATAAGAGACATCATGAGCCTAACCTTAAAGATGCAACATGTATGATTTATAAAAGTGTATTAGCAGAAATGTGTTATAGTATGCAAAACTATGTTTCCAATCATGTGTAATCACCAGAAAATAAGAATTACTGCATTTTTTAAAGCTGAGAATAAGTCTTTTATATCCACATAGCAGTGGGTCCCCTATCATGGAGGCCATGTTGAGCCACCAAGTTTTCACCGTAGATCAGAATAGACAAAGCATGCACTGGCTCTAGAGCATGAATTTTGCTGTTTCACAATGAAGTAGCAGCTTGGATTTGGAGCAATGATTTAGTGACACCAGGAAGATGACGGAGTAGTAATGGTAGAAACAAGAGGAGGCACTAGCAGGAGTTTAAGAACAATTTTTTGAGGAAATGAAACATTCTAGTTTATACTTTAACACCAAAAAAAGGAAAACAGTGTGAATCTTTGTTGTCAAAGAAGAAATAGGATAGGCGACAGCACAAGATGAGGATAAACATTGGCGTGGTCTTTCCCAGATAGAAATCCTTGATGAGGGACAGGTGTTTCCAGAATGACAGTGAAGTTGCCTGTTTTCTGCTGGACAGGTAATTTAGCTTAACAAGCAATGTTAGCCTAAATGCAGTGGGTGAGAATGACTATAGGCAGGCAGAAAATGAGAGGTTGGTGCTAGCCACACCATTTGTCCAGACTGAGCCATAAAGCTGGCTGTAATCATGGCCACTAGCTGCTGATTGGACAGTCGAAGAGGCAGACAGGCAGGGCTAGTGGCAGATTGCTCCAGCGGCCACTTTAAATGCCGACCTTAATCAGCACAACATATAGAGCAAAGAAGACACGACATAGACAGCTTTGGAGTCCAGAGACGCTGACACCATGTCAAGGACTAGCTGACAGGCATGATCAGCATGGAATGAAGAAGTTGTTATTGGGCTGAGAGGATTTGGGAAGGTGACCGCCTACTGATATAGGCACATGTTGTGCCTCTTGTGCACTCTTGCTTACTTGGAAAGAATTTCCAAAATCCTTAAACACTCCTCTTTCAATTTGGATCCACAATGTTCAACCCACAATTTCAACTAGTTCATTTTGTACAAAATAACATATTGACTAATTCAGCATTTGCACAAAGCAACCTTTTAATGCTGCATTGTTGCTCTTTCATGCAGTGGAACTGTTTTGGAAAGTCACATATTGCTCTCTTGTTAACTGTTTTATTGATTTGGTCCACTAAAAACCAGTAACCAGCTGTCAGCAAAGGTAATGTGAGATGGATGGAGGAAAAATATGCAAAGGTGGGAGTTTTAAAATTAAACCTGAAATGTGAAATAACTGAAACAGGAAAGCCAACAGATGGAGTTACAAGTATTTTATGCAGGGAAATGTGCCAAATAATGCTGTGAATTTAAAATTTTAGAAAATATCAGCATTTGTTTTTGTTGCTAGTGTGGCCCTACTGTATGCACACAGCCATACCTGCAGAACCTCCAGTGCAATGTTGCAGCATGCTTACTGTGACTGGCAAGACCTCAGTGACCTCCACATTACAGAGTGGCAGGATGGTAAGAAACACTTTGATGCCTCAGCTTGCCTGCTTCCTCATGTTGTGGCTGGAAGAGGGAAGTGG